CGGATGCTGATCATTAATTGGAGGTAGGTCGCATGTGTAGGTATTTATTTTCAAATTATTCAAATAATTAATAAATTTTTTTATGTGCAGAAAGAGTCACCACTCTTCCACCGGCCGCCGCACCATCGCCTCTCATCGACACCACCACCATATCGTCGTTGCCATCGCCCTCCTATTATATTATTCATTTATATTTTGTATTCTTTTTTATACTTTTATAATTGTATTATATAATTGTATATATTGTGTATTTTAAATTCTTTTAAATTTTATTCGTATATTATCTTTTACATATTTATATTTTAAATTCTTTTAAATTTTTCTTACAGTATCTTTTTTTTACACACCTTATATAATATACATTTATATTTTAAATTCTTTAAAATTTCTTTTACACTATGTATAATACACATTTATATTTTGTATATTTTAAATTCTTTTGCACACTATGTATAATACACATTTTATTTTATTTGATTAAAAATTAATTAATATAAAAAAATCTTATTTATTTTCAAAATTCCTCTCTTTTCATTGCTCCATTTATTACTAAATTATAAGAAAACTATTAAAAAATTATATTTAAATTATCAAAAATATTTTCATTGCGTGATATCTCTTCTCTCACGTGCACCGTATCACTCCTTCTGTCTCTTTCTTTCTTTCCTAGTGTTTGCTCTCTCATGATAATTCTCTTGCAAGAAGCTATGCATGAAAACTGGGACGGGAGAGCGCGTCAAATGCAAAGAAAGTACATCATGATATAGATTTATAACTATTTATTCTGATATAGATTTATAACTATATATTTAGTATACAAATATAATTTTTGTCTTACATATTAAGAATTAAAAGCTAAAACTGCCAGCTCGCAATCGACGAATTGATGCTTGTTGAAAACATCACTCGTGCGTATTACATATGATACTTCTTTCGGATCCGTTACAGAGGACGCGATATTGCAGAATTGCGTAAATTTGACATCAACTGTTTGGATAATTTTATCTAATCGATCAAAAGTTACATCTATGTATTAATCGAGATCGAACATACGATGTAACGTCGATTCGACCATCATCATGCGTACATCCGAAGATTCGAGACTTATGAGTTTGACGTCGTTAATCGTACGAACTCTCACTGTTAGCGGTCCAACTTATGAAATTGTAGTCATCTTTAGAGTCGTTCCGAAGTAAATTTTGAATATTGCGACATTGCTCGTAGAGTCCTTTCCACGTTTCAACAGATAATATCAGTTCCTTTCCTCGATGATCTCCTATGGCAATCTCCACGTAACTCGGTGGACCCACGTTGATACCAATTTCGAGAAATTTGAATTCCGTAGCTGTCAATGCGTATCGTCTACCTAGTATACGAGTCGCACGACGCTCCAACGAAATGCTATAGAAAAATTAAAATTAAATAATAGTAATAATAATACAATTATAAAAATAGAAAAAAAGTTAAATGAAACTTACTCGTCACATTTGTTCTCAAACGATGAAGTTTTATTACGACCCGGCACGTAATTATTATTCACGCGTCTTCCGACGTCGCTGCCGCTACTGTTTCTTTCGACGTAGTACATTTCTTTGAAGGTTATGAAAAGTGAACCACGAGCGGTTAACGCGAGACTGATCGTACAGGAATTAACCGGGTATACGTGACGCTCATCTTCCAAAAGTATAATGTGGTGGGGGGATCAATGCTTCTAATGCTTTGAATTTTAGGAGAAGGGTGAAATAACGCTCAGATAAAATATTCTTAGAAACGCAAGGAAAGGTCTAGGGAGGGGAAATAAGAGATAAAATACATATTAATGTTTACATATTTGTTTTATTTTCTTGCAATTCTTTCTGGCGTTGCGACCACCAGTTAAATATTTTAAATACATTTTGTAATGCGTAATTCTTAACATGTTTTCCACATCGCATACTATTGATAATATCTAATTTATTTAAAGCATCAATATCTTCGTAATCTGCATCCAAGGTTTCAATAATATAGCCATTCCTCACATCGTCTAATATATCGGTCAACCATTTTCGCTTTTCAAGTCCTTTAACGTATACGACAGACGATTCTTCTTCTTCTTCTTCGTGTATCGTACCAACGACAGCTGTTGTAATTACACGCTGAGCCAAACCATACGGAACGTTTCCGTCTTCCCATTGTAATCCGTGATGATTTCTAGTCAACCATGAAACTTGACGTTGATCAGATTTTGTAAGCACGCTCCACGGTACGGGACTTGCGAAAAAGTAATGCGATAGAACATATCCCTTTCTCAAGACTGCCACTTCCTTCACGAAGAATAGTTTGCCGATGGTAAAACCTTGCAGATCCACAAACGTTGGTACAGACATGGCGAAATCTCTCTCTCTTCGATACATCAGTCGAGAGGAATGACAAAACTTTAAAATCATCTCGCAACACTTTGCTTTATATCCTGCTCCTCCTCCCCTCTCTCTTCTGTCGATGTTATCGCCTAGGTGATTTTGCGTACAACGGATTGTACTAGATCATGCGATCGTGTATGATGAGATAGTACGCAGTGGTATTCGGCGGCACGTTCTCCTTACACTCGAATTCCAATTTCACATCCAGGGTCGCGCTCTTGACCGATTCGTTTTGTCGAGAACAATCGATAATCACGAACGAACCGTTGAGAAACGTCCTGACGGCGAGACTCGGCTCGAGATACTCGTGTCCGTAATAATTCTTGCAGAAGCGTGCGTATGTTTCATACAGAATGGCATATCTGCCTTTTTCGAAATCCAGATTCATATCGTCGTACGGATAATATTCCGAATTCAGATAGAGTTTCACGTTATAGATCAAATTGCAGTTGTCGAATGCACTCATATCCTTAGACATGACATTCTTCCGACCTGTTTGCAGAGCGAAGATAACGTATCGTGGTTTCTCCAGCTGAGTTGCAGTCTTAATGGCCCACGAATACTTGGTTGTAAACTGCAATAGCGGATACTCGTACAGATCCCACGAGCGAAAAGTCATGCTGAGATATCGTCCGCTTTCCAGAGCACGCAGCATCGACAACTTTTTGATTTCGCTCAACAGCACGTGAGGCATTCGCTATTGTATCTTGAATATGTCGATCACAGGCTCCTGCGCCGAATTTCCAAGCAGACAATTGTTGCGATAGTTTTCGATTAACTCTAAACAAACAAAACATAAATCCACGCATATCAAGTTGGCACTATTCTTACAATCATATGACTACACTATCGAACATCGCCCAGGAGCAAAAATGTCACGCACTTAGCCGGTGTTACGCTATTTTCGTTTTACACACTGAAAAAACTCATTGGTAATAATTATCAAATATATTTAGTTGTGAATTTTAATTGAATATTTGATAAATATTACCATATTTGATAATAATTACTAAATCTTCAATTGGTCTAGTTTCAAACAAATTTTGTTTGCAGTTAAATCAATTAAACAATTTAGTAACAATTATTAAATATTTAATATTTATCATAAAATCTTTGATGATTGTTATTAAATATGTTGTAAATATTACTAAATCATTCAATTTAAGATTATTAGATATTTGATAACTATCATTAAATGATTTAGTTCAGTCAACATGTTTGATAAAATAATTGTTAATTATTAACAAATTTTGGTAAGATAAAACGTGTAAAACAGTTGGCAATTATTACCGAATTGGCAGTAATTATAATTAAATCATGATAACGAGAAATTTAAAAATCTGGTAATTGTAATTAAATGTTTGATAGTAAAAGATAATATATTTGATAAGTATTATCAGATATTTGGTAATTATAACTAAATCATCTTAAGGAGAAATTAAAGCTGTGATAATTACTACTAAATGTTTAATTTAATAGAATAAGCAATTTTATAATAGTTACCAAACATTTAATTACTAGAGCTACATATTTAGTTAAAACAAATGAGCAATTTATTTACTATCACTAAATATTTAATTGAAATAAATAAATGATTTGATAATTATTAATAAATATTTAAATAAATAATATTTTTAATATTATGATAAAAAGTGGTAAAATATGTGAAATAAATTTAAAACAAGTCAATATTGAAATATTGAAAAAGATTTATTATAATATTTACATAAGAACCGTTTTTTTAAATATTAAAATACATATATTTATATATATATTTTTTATAATTTATATTTTAGAACAAGTGTTTTATCAGAACATTAATATTAACACTAAGATATTATTTCTTAAACATCGAATATTGAAATAAAATATCGACCTTCGCCAGAAATATGAAAATTGCATGTTCTTACATTGAATTCTTTCGAAATATCAACTGTGTAAATTTCATATGTACTATTCTCACGTGGCAATTCGATTTCATAAGCTTTAAAATGAGTATCTAAACCTAAAGTAATACACTTTTTATATACAACATAAAAAAATTCTCTGCTCTTTAAAATAATACATTGCATTATTCCGAATGACAAATTATTTTCATCAGCATTAGAAATCATCACATATTTACCCTAACAGCACAAGTAGATTCTGAGAATGTTCTAAGAATATCGCAAAAGTATATTGTGTATATTCTCAGAACAATCTCAAACGTACTGCGATTGACGCAGTACGTTCTGCGAATGATGTCCTGGGTAGCATCTTCCATAGTATTTCTCCGCGAATGTCTATAGTTGGAGGACAGTTTCAGAAAATGATGAAAATAGGAAGATTGCAGTAGATCATTTATACACGCACGCATATATACCGCCAAGTGCGCGCGTGCTCACGCATTGAACAGGATAGGTTAGGATTAGGTTAGGTTAGGATTAGATTATTAATATGTCAATTTTGATTTTTTATTGATGTTTTTATTGCAAAAACGTTAAGATACTTCAAAATATGTGTCATATACATTATGAACACATTATTCTTCATTACATATATGTTATGTATATATATATAACATTTATAAATAAAAGAAAAAGTAAATTCTCTATATATCGTTAACTCTCAAAATAAAGATTTTCATCATAACTCGAACAAAATTTGAAAAAAGCAAAATTCTTAATTGTAATCTTTGGCTCTTGCGCTAACGTGTCTTATTTAAATACGTTGACAAGATAATTATCACATTCAGTCAGAGGGCTCTTCTAGTTCTTCCGGAGGATCGTTTCGATCCCTCTGAATTTTTCTTTTTTTTTTCTTTCTCTCTATCAATACGCTCTTTAGCGTGAGCTAACCATACTTTTATTGTATTAGATATGTGCTCATCCTTTGCTGCTTCATGCGCGTTTCTTACAATAGCTAAAACAGAAGGAAATATGTTTTTTGAAATTAATTATTCATTATTTCAACTTCTTTTTTATTTGAATAAAAGGCATCTCTAACACATTTGCAAAATGTAATTTAAATAAAATAGAATAAAATGAAATTTCTTCTTTTTAATTTTGTTTTTAAGACTCGTATGTAATTATGATGGATATAATTGAAAAATATTAATATGACTATTACAATTTCAAAAATTTTTAATATTTTTCAGAAAATTAAAATATAATGTATTACAAGTGTATCAAAAGTAATTTTTAGTTTTATCAAAATATTCAAGAGCCTTAATAATGTTAGGAAGAAAAAAATTGTTCCTTAAGGGGGAATACGCAGTCAGGCAGCGCGAAAACAGAGGGTCTTTCTCGAATTTTTTAAAAGAAAACGAATAGTTTTTTATTTACAAACTTTTGCATGATATTAATCAACATTTTAAGAACATTTTGTAATTTTTTCATTAAGAAATAATAATAATTATAATTGTTGTGACTATTTTGATATGGCTCCTAAAAAAAAGTGGCATTCCGGTGGACACTGTAACTCGAGGCAGGATCATCTGAAATCAAAAACCCAAAAAGATTTCGTTAGTAGAAGACTTTGTCTTTCATGTGAACGAAGGATTTTGAAAAAAATTAAATTTTGAATTTTTTAGAGAACTTTTAAGTTTAGAGAACTTTTAAGTCACGATTTTTGCTTAAAAAATCGACCGATTTTATTTTTTAAAACAAGTTCTAATCATCAAAAAAATCCTTCGTTCACACGGAAGGCAAAGTCATCTACTAACGAAATGTTTTTGGATTTTTTATTTCAGATGATCCTGCCTCGAGTTACAGTGTCCACCGGAATTTTTTGAGGAGCCATATTAAAATAGTCACAACAATTATAATTATTATTTTTTAATAAAAAAATTACGAAATATTCTTAAATTGTTGATTAATATTATGCAAAAGAATTTGTAAATAAAAAACTTTATTAGTTTCCTTTTAAAAAATTTGAGAAAAATCCTGTTTTTGCGCCGCCTGACTGCGTATTCCCCCTTAATAGTTTACTTACTTAATATTACTTGACACAAGTTCAGCTGGGAAAAATTCTTTTTTTTTTGGCACCATGCCAATTATATAATACAGCAACTTTGTTTGAGACTATTTGTCTCAATAAATTTAAACATGAATTCTGTGAAGAACCTTGCAAAGAACCCTACGAAGAACTCTACGAAGAACTCTGCGAAGAACTCTGCGAAGAACACTGTATAGAACATGCGAAGAATCCTGTGAAGAATTCTGCGAAGAGAGAACACTGCGAAGAATACTGCGAAGAACTCTGCGAAGAGAGAACACTGCGAAGAATACTGCGAAGAACGCTGCTGAAAGTTATATATATTTATATACATATATCATTTTAAGACGTTTTAAAAATAATAAAGAAAATGTATTGCATATTTGACAAACCAGAGAAGGAAATAGTGCAATTAAGTTTTACGCAAAGCATAATAATATTATTGTAATATTATTGTACTTTGTATATTATTATATTATTGTGTCCAGATCAAACCAAAGTTAAATTTGAACCTCGAACCGAGCATTTTTTTTTTTATTGATACGATTTCTTTTCTGAAACAAGCTCGCCGAAATGCTACTTGGAGAATGCTCGCGGTTTTAGGTTCAACTTGAACTTTTGCTTGATATTCCTGAACACGTTCTAAATTTGTAAAACTATTCTGTTGATACGAAATATATATCTGAGATGTATATCTAATTGTAAGATATTTTATACTAATTATGTATTAAAAATGTTATATTTTTACATTTTTTGTGTATATAACCTTAAACTATTCTAAGCAGAAAAGCTTTATAAGTATGTAAAAAATATACAAAATATTACGTAAATCATATATAAAATCTGTCTGTTAAACTTTATTTACTATTATATGTAAGATAAAAGTTAAAGAAAAAAAGGATTACCTTCGATTTGATAACACGTTGAAATCTCTTACTCCATCGATTACCGAGCAAGCGGGAAGAGACCGGAACAGGAACATATGCAGATGGCGTTGAACGTATGTACCGTTTCCATATTTGGCGTCAAACCTGAGATTATACGCCCGCGATAGAAAGGCGTACGTATCTTTACCGTATCTTTGAGTAAATTCTGAGATTGTACGCACGCGATAGAAAACCGAATCATACTATAAGAGATATTATAGAGTTGTTCTCAGTATCTTACGGATGATCACAGTATAATGAGTATGAAAATGGGATGATACGCAGGATATCATGTGCTGTTAGGGTAGGTCTAAAGACAACGCTATTATATCGAACCCATGCAACTTCCATTAAATTGTTATCATCTACTTGGGATACATTCGTAAAAATTGAGTTGAAACAAGTTGCCAATGTCTTCCTACGAATGAGTGTTATTAAATGCGCATCCGAATCACTTTATACTAATCTTATTTCTGGACTTATTTCAATTATATCGTTAAGCCCTCTTTTACAAAGAAATCTATAACAAGAATGCAATTGCAATTTGATCGCTAATGTTAATGTTATATTTTTCCTTGATGTTACGATAAACGCATAATTCTTCGAAATTTTATGAAATCCCTCATATCGAATAGAAGATAAACTTTTAAGAGGTCCCATTCTTCGAATAATTTCTGGATAATGTACCATAAAATGAAATTTGGGTTTTAGATGATCATTGAATAATCGTATATACATTTCATGATGAGAAATTATTAACCCTTTAAGGAAATTTATTTGAACGTTTGAAATAATTGTATCTGTTACGATATTAATAATTTCACAAAGTATAAGATAAAAATCCCAAACTTCATTATCATAAGGAATTAAATCTCCTATAATAAAAGTTAAATAACAAATCATTGCAGACATTTCTGCTGCTGTAATCGATGCGTATAAAGATTGTCGACAGAAAGTGAATGATGTTTCGTTATCGAAACGACGCAACGCACTGAATCGAAAAGAAGCTTCTAAACACAGATCGGACCTGTGTAGAAAAACCTGAAGCAAAACAGAATGTTTTCGGTTACACGAATATTCAGTCCCCCTCACCCTCCTTTCCATTGGTATGCCTAAAACTTCTTTTCGCTCGATTCAGTGCGTTACGTCGTTTCGCTAGCGAAACAACGTTCATTTTCTGTCATCGCTCTTTTCTTCCTTTATTTTCTTTTCTTTTTTTTATGAAACAAAAGATGGTCTTGTTGCCACGATCTCATCCGTAACATCCATTCGAGCATTTTCCGAAGTAATTGCATCGATTATTATACGCATCGATTATTATACGCATCGATTATTATACGCATTTATGTGCGAAGACTAATTCTGCTCAAAATTGGATATTTCGAAACATTTCGAGGAAATGGATTTTCTTTTAAAGAGTTGGGATAATTCTAATTTATTATTTCTTTTCGAATAAAAATTTCTTTATAACTATAATATTATCTTATTTATTATTTATTATCTTATTTATTATTTAACCAACCTTGGATATTTTTGATTTACTCGTATCTTTTGAATCTTATTTGTTGTGCACAATAAATTAATACATTTTTATAAATTATAATTTATTATATAAATATATAATTCGTTTTTTCTCTTATTTTATTTACACTGAAGTTTGATATAAATTTATATTTACATTTGAGATTTTCTTATATTTAACATTTTATATTTTCTTTATGTAGCGAATGATATTAAAAGTGTAGATGATTTGGGCGATCTTTTAAACGAATGTAATTCGTCTGATTTCAATAAATTGATTCCCAACGTTTTAAATCGATTGAAACTACGCAGACATTTCAATGACTACAACGTATGTTTTCTCTATTTATATATTTTTTATCTATTTTTTATATTAATTATTATGTAATTAAACTGATTCTATTTGCTACTATTTTTAATCAGTGTAATTATAAAATGGAAAAATAATAAAAATTTGAATTATTTTTACAGATTCGCAATAAAACAGTTGACTTTGATTGTTCAAGTTTTAGTACAGAGAATGATAATATAAATAATTCAATTCTTGTTGATTTAATAAATCTTCCAACAAAACCTGAGAATGCTATTGTCATAGAAGATATTAGCGATAACTGTCAAAATGTGAATAATTCTTTAGTCGAAAATAAAGAAATATTACCATATGAACCACTTGTAGAGAAAACAAGACTAAATTTAAAAACAGTGGAATTTAATTTAAAGGAAATATTATCAAAAACAGCTTTCGGTAATTCTCTGATACTAATAAATCAACATGGAGGAAATATTACGTCTCAATGCCAATCCATTTTATGTGATATAATTATATCATACTTTTTGAATTTAAATATCAGGTATATTTATATGTTATTTTGTCTATAATTTTTTATTGTGTTACTTTACAATATTTTATCTTTTATGTATTATTAAAATATCTTTTTCATTTGAGATCCAATAATCTACATTTACTATATCTCTATATCGTGATATTTACATATTAATTATTATGTTGTTTAAATACATAGAGCCGAATTATATACCAATTTATTTACATATTAAATTTTCTTTTTTTAAAGAACACTTCAAAACGAAGATTTTGCTAAAATTACAGAGGAAATAATTGAGTTATTTCCAAAAGAATGTAAAGAAACTTACTATATGCCACCTATACGAAAAAAGTATTCAAAAATTGATAAAGCTGGTATCTCAAGAGGAAAATTGGTCGATAAATTTCGTAATGCATTAAAATTTATCCGTTATGCTGACAAGTTGAAAAATAATAATCACATTGAACAAAATGTTATTGTAAGCCAAGGTATTAATATTTTGTATTAAGATTTATCATGGAATTTTTGAAAAATATATAACTGGTCCAATAAATATTAATTTTAAAAATTTTTTAAATTCTTCTCAGCTGATGATCAACAAATCGCAGAAGAACATAGAATTTGGTTGATCCACAACCAAAAATGACAGAATGAAGTTAATGAAAAATGGGATGCGTCATATATATTACGCGTTGAAGATTGCGCTAGTAAAATATACAAAAATGTTAATGACTTATTTATAAAGTGGTCTATATTGAAATTGGATTCTTCTTATATATTGGTAAATGTCTTTATTTTGAAATAATATAATAAAATAAGGCTTTATGATAAAATAAGACTATTTTTAAATAAGACTATATTTAAAATATAAATAATAGAGAATGAGTTAATAAGAGCTCAATTCAAGCACGGAAATAAAGCGTATGATTTTTTTCATTTAAAATCTTTATTAAAGGAAGTGAACATTAAAAATAATTTTAAAAAGACTTTTAACTGCAAATTTTACTACTAACAACTACAAACAAAATATTATAAATTTGAGTATTAAATCTTTAATAATCTTTATTAATAATTTATTAAGTTCACGTAGGTATAATAATTTGTATTTATTCTTATAGATTGAAAGGGATTTTGATCGAAAATTTCCTCAATATAAAGAAAAGTTATTGAAATCTTGGAACGTAAATTTTTCACTTATTTTAAAAAAAATTTATCTGCAGGAGGGAACATTTATGAAAGTTTAATGAATGCACAGCATTTAAACTTAGGTAAATATTCGTACATTAAAATTCGTACATTAAAAATTTTATTTTAATTTGTAATAAAAATGATACACACATACAGATATGTTTCATATATATGGTTATTATTAGACACTCTGTGTCTTAATATTTCTTCTATTAATACATATCTATTGATTTCCTCATAGATTCGAAAACAATCCTTCAAATATGGCTTTTAACAAGTGTTGTAGCTCCTAAATCAAGTAAAATTACTTTTAAAATTGGGAACAAGAAAAGAATGTGGAAACCTACAATCTCGGAAAGTCAGGAAGGAATTCTAATACACTGTAAAGTAAGTTAAACTCCATTCTTGTTCCAGATTCGAAATAAAAAAAAATCGAAATTGATATTTTATCAAGAGACAATGATGTATATATAGAAGTGTTTTTACAACAGACATTTTTACTGGGCGCTTTTTCAGTTTTTTAAAAAGATTTGTTAAAGTTAAACTAACATTTATAATTAGAGGTTTCTTACCTTTTGTAATTTACTTTAGGTACCTGGCGATATTGAAAAAATATGTCAGGACAAACAAAATAAAATGCGTCAAATGAACCTTACGATGCAACCTTTTGTAATCATCATTGGACCAGAAATAACTGCAATCGACAATGTATACATTCGACTCGATACAACATTGTATTCTATGCCGACGGTATTAAAAGCATTGGATGTATTTTTCAAGATTTTTGTAACATTTAATGCGTGTTATTCGAAAGAATGTGAAAATATGTGGTATCTAATTCAGTGGGGAATTTATGAGATCCATACAATTTGGGATGAGAACATTCCCTTTCTGTGCACTGCATTAAATAAAATAAAAAGAGGTTAGTCTTCATTGTGTATAAGTCTGAAAACTTGTTTTCACAACTTGTTTGTATCATTTGCTCTTTTGAAAATCTATTACTTTTTATTTAGTAATATTGATTTATTGCTATTTATTGTATAATATATATATATATATATATATATATATATATATATATATACCGAACTTATTTTCTCATTAGTATTAAGTTTTATTAGTTTAGTATTAACTTTTATTATTTGTTTTTGACATATGTAACAATTAATTTTCTTGCGCCTTTTTAAAACATAAAATATTACGCTTAAATAATAATTTTTCAAATACTAACATCGTATTTTAAAAGATTGCTTTAGCCAAAAATGGATTGTCGAATTTGTTTAAAAAAGATTTTCGGAGATACTCGAGCATATATTAAACATTTAAAATCATATCATCCATTTGAGATGACATATAAATGTGTGGGTAAAACACAATTAAAACTGAACGTTATGATAAACAATAATTCTGTATTTACTTCTAATTACAATTACGAATGCCTGTATACTATGTGTAGGTGTGGATGTGTACTGTATGCGAGCAAGTGATGTGTCTGGAGGCGGAAAAGTTACTGCTCTCTGGAAAAATCCGGGTTCGGCATGCACGAACCGAGAGGAGTTTTTTTATGGAAGGAGAAATTTTACAAGGGACGGGTTGCGTAAGGAAAAGCCGTGTGTTTGCCAAATGTTACATGGCAATCTATACGGCTGCGGAACATGCAAGGGTTGTAAATCTGTGGAGGTGAAAGCGGATGCATGCATGCGGGAATTAGAAAGCTGTTAGGATTTCCGAACGTGTGCGTGTGTGTGTAACGCGGGCGGAGTAGAAGACAATTGTCCCTACAGTACCCTCTTGCTAGTGTTTAACGATATATAAGAATTTATGAAAATCCTCCCTGTAGCCGGTCCGGGAAGGATACGTCTGCCTGATTTGGTTATGTGGTTGGTCGAGTTTTCTAGTATTGTTTTCTGCTATGTGTGTTTGTGTGTATTTGGTAGGTCTGTGATTACTGTGTTCTTTTCGGAAGGGCCTGGAACGTCCTGATCGTTGTTGCTTTCCTGAGAGACGAGTGGATCATCGGCCATGATGTATGCTGGTTTAAGGCGGTCGATGGAAACCGTAACGTCACGGCCGTTCATGCGAACCACGAACGTCTTCTCTGCTCGTTTAATTACTTTGTATAGGCCGTCATACGGTTGTTGCAGAGGCTGTTTGAGACCATCGTGGCGTACAAAGACTTCCTCCGAGGTAGCAAGGTCCTTGAACACGAACGTCTTACCCGTACCATGGCGAGATACCTTCGTCGGTCTCAATTCCCTCAGGTGTTGGCGTAGCTCCTTGACGAAATCTGTTACGTTGTCTGTTGCGTTGTCGCGGTGTAGAGATCCTAAGAACTCGCCCGGAAGACGTAGCGACTTCCCGTAGACCATGTCGGCTGCCGTGGCTTGCAGGTCTTCTTTCCAGGCTGAGCGGATGCCCAGCAAGACGGTAGAAAGGCTCTGTGTCCATCGATGTTGCTGTTGGCACATGATTGCTGCTTTTAGTTGACGGTGTAACCGTTCAACCATGCCGTTGGCTGAAGGGTGGTATGCGGTTGTTCTTAGGTGAGTCGTACCTAACAAGTGATTCAATTGCTTGAAAAGATATGACTCAAACTGCCTATCTTGATCCGTGGTTATTCTCAATGGCGTGTCAAACCGAGATATCCATCCATCGTAGAGAGCACGTGCGACAGTTGAAGCTTCTTGGTCGTGCAGGGGAACAGCTTCTGGCCAGCGAGAGTATCGGTCTACTATAGTCAGGCAGTATCGGCATCCCTCTGACAGTGGCATGATTATAATGTCTATATGTATATGTTCGAACCTGGCAGAAGGTGGTGCGAATGTGCCGACAGGTGAGGAGACATGGCGAGAGATCTTGACGCGTTGGCATTGGATGCAGCTGCGGGCCCATTGTCTGCAATCAGATTTGATCGACGGCCATACGTAACGCTGAGTTACGAGCTTGACCGTCGCGTTGATTCCCGGGTGAGACAGCTGGTGCAGTGAGTCGAATGCGACTTTCCTGAACTCTTGAGTAACGAAGGGCCGCACTGTTTGTGATGGGACGTCGCAAAATACTGCCACGTCGGTGCCAGGGATGCACACCTTTTTCAGTACGAGGGTGGAGTCTTCCTCCAAGTATCGCCGGAGCTCTTCATCTTCTTGTTGGGCTGCTGCCAAGGCTTCGAAATCGAGAGTACGCTGAACTTCCTCCACGCGCGACAGAGCGTCTGCTACCACGTTGTCCTCCCCGGAAACGTGGCGGATATCGGTGGTGAACTGTCTGATGAAGTCCAGGTGTCTGAACAGGAGGTGAACATTGGACCGTCTTCTTGTGAAACGCATAGACGAAAGGTTTGTGGTCCGTGTAGACTGTGAACGACCGTCCCTCCACGGTGTGTCTGAAGTGCTTGATTGCTAGGTAAATAGCAAGTAACTCCCGATCGTAGGCTCCGTATTTTGCTTCCGCAGGACTTAGCTTTTTGGAAAAGAATTCAAGGGGTTGTCAGGCATCTCCGATCCGTTGTTGGAGGGCTGCTCCGACTGCGTAGTCTGACGCGTCGCTGAAGATTGCGAGCGGTGCATCGGGCTCGGGATGAGCCAGCAAGGTTGCTTGGGCTGAGCATTCCTTGCTTGATTCAAATGCTTCTATAGACGTTGATGTCCAGTTGACTGGCGACTTCCCTTTAACATTGCCTAGCAGCAGGTTGTTAAGCGGTGCTTGAATCTCTACAGCCTTGGGCAAGAATCTTCTATAAAAATTCAACATGCCCAAGAATTGACGTAATTTCTTCACGGTGTCGGGTCGTGGATAGGCCCGTATGGCGTCGACCTTTTCCGGTAGCGGGCGAGTCCCTGCGCCGGAAACGAGGTAGCCGAGAAATTTAACTTCGGGCTGTCCAAATACGCATTTTGCTGGGTTGATGATGACACCATACTTCTTCAGCCGCTCAAACAGAATTCTCAGGTGTTTCAGATGTTCTACCTCTGATGTTGATGCGATGAGGATATCGTCGATGTACGCGTAGCAGAACTCCAGCCCTTGCAGCACCTCGTCAATAAAGCGCTGGAAAGTCTGCGCTGCATTACGCAAACCGAAGGTCATGAATTCGAACTCGAAGAGTCCAAAAGGCGTCGTAATGACTGTCTTTGGAATGTCCTCCTCCGCGACCGGAATCTGATTGAAGGCTCGTACCAGATCGATGGTGGAAAAAACGTTTTTCCCATGAAGTGACTGGGAGAAATCCTGGATGTGCCTCACTGGATATCGGTTAGGTTCTCGCGTTCAGAGCGCGATAATCTCCGCAAGGCCGCCAGTCGTCGGCTCTTTTTCGGTACCATGTGCAAGGGCGATGCCTAGGAGCTCTGTGACGGGCGAGCGATTCCCAGGCGCAGCATGGCCTCGAATTCCTTCTTCGTCGCTTTTAACTTTTCCGTTGAAAGGCGACGTGGTCTCTGTGCTCAATCGCAATTTTGGCTTCGCAATATGCTTCATTATTAGAAAATATTTTTTTAGTACAACTGATAAATTCATCAGATCGTATGTACGAGGTGTGGCAATTAAATAACCGGACTGGTGCTAAAAAACATTTTATTTATTATTATTTACATTATACAAATTTTCTCCTTCTATATATTCTCCTTGGCGATCCCTACACCGCTCCATACGTATTTTCCATTGTTGGAAGCAGTGCTGGAAGTCCGCTTCCGTTAGGCTGTTGAGTACCTCCGTCGCTTTTGCTTTTACTGTCTCTACACTCTGAAATCTTGTCCCCTTTAGCTCTGATTTTACTTTTGGAAATAAAAAGTAGTCACAGGGGGCCAGGTCGGGCGAGTAGGGTGGGTGGTCCAACACTGTGATTTTGTGTTTCGCGAAAAACGACTTCACAGACAACGCAGAATGTGATGATGCATTGTCTTGGTGGAGCATCCAAGAATTGTTCTTCCACAGTTCGGGCCTTCGCCTTCTCACTCTTTCACGAAGGGTGGACAGGATCTCAATGTAATAATGTTGATTAACAGTCTGACCTTCGGGGACCCAGTGAATGTAAACAACTCCTCGAATATCAAAAAAAAACAACCATCATGGCCTTAAATTTTGATTTTGACATTTTGGCTTTTTTTTGACACGGTGAACTCGGACTCTTCCAATGCATCGACTGACGCTTTGTTTCTGGGTCATAGGTAAAAAACCACGACTCGTCGCAAGTAATCACTCTGTCTAACAAACCTGGATCAGCGCTAATGTTGTTCAAAAGGTCAACACAAATGTTCATTCTCAATTCCTTTTGTTCTGCAGTGAGAAGTTTTGGCACCATTTTCGCGCAAACTTTTCTCATGTTCAATGATTCATGCAAAATCTGACGGATACTTTCTCTATTAATTCCTGAGACTTCAGCAAGAGCCCGGATACTCAGACGACGATTTTCACGGATCAATTTACCAATTTTCTCGATGTTGTCTTCTGTTTTTGATGTTAAAGGCCGTCCAGAGCGTGGATCGTCTTCAGTCATTTCACGACCTTCTTTAAACCTTTTACACCATTCAAAAACTTGTGTGCGCGATAAACACTCACTTCCGTACACTTCCTTTAACATAGCATGGGCTTCTGTTGCGGTTTTTCCGAGTTTCACAAGAAACTTAAGGTTAACTTTTTGCTCCATTCGACGGCAAGTTAAAACAAGAACTTACTCGGGCGATAATTATGGTGAGACTGAGTACCGCACAAACGCGCGAATCGAGATTATGTTAGTGAAGGTATGAACAAGCACAGACATGTTCAGATCTGCTGCGGCCGGCTCGCCGTTTGCCAGTAGCAGCACCAATCCGGTTATTTTATTGCCACACCTCGTATTTTGGGAACGCAAAATGTTTTCGATATGTAATAGAGGAATTGAAATATTTAAGTAATGAAGGAATTGTTATTCGTGAAATGGTAATGAACATATTCTTTATTTTGTTATGATAGCACTTTTAGGTGATAATTTGGGACTTAATGGTCTTTTAGGTTTCAATGAAAGTTTTTCTAGTGATTATTTTTGTAGAATTTGTCGTGCTGTAAAATCAAATACGCGTTCTGCAACTTTCGAAGACGAAAGTTTATTACGTACCCCACAAAATTATTGCGAAGATGTTTCAAAATTGGCATACGGCGTAAACGAAGAATGTATGTAGGATGTTATCTACGAGTATAATTTATTGGAATCGGTATATGATACAGAGTATAATTACAAAGCTGGAGTACAGTGGAGCACGTCTCGACCCTTCGAGCGAACATTTAGAACTACCTTTTGTCTGAACTGCATCGCTGCAGTTCACACTCGTCCTTCCGTCGCGTATCGTCAATTGTTACAAGATGTTTCAAGAACCGCGCGGGACGTCCGAAAAGATGCACACGCGGAAAGAATAACACAGCGCGAGACGCTTCGGGTTTTACAAGCGGTGCAACCGTGAGCGGATAGTACGTGAACGGGTTGGTCGGTATATGTACTCGAAAATATCCTATACTTCGGCCGTCCTGCCAGACATTCGCCCTCGAATGTCGCGTTCACGACTGTTCATAAGTAATTTTCTCTTTTTCGTCTTCACTTTCCAATTCATCCAAATCGTCGAAGTGCACCCAGGGTTTCATATGATCAGCGGATGTTGAAGTTTCTTGTGGCCCTTCATGGTCGCCTATTTTTATAACCATGTATCGATCGTTACGCATTACTTTAACAACACGATACGGACCGAGAAATT